CCAAGGCACCAGGGGATACATGCAAGGGCGTCATCAATGTAAACCCTGCTGAAAGCCCGGAAAAGATAAAGTCTGAACTGTATTGGCCTCAAGGTACTATCCTTGCGGTCCGCAAACTCGGAGATTCCGCGGCGGCGGTGGTGACTTTCGAGGGCACGAAGTTACCCCGCTTCCTCTTCTACCACTGCGTGGCGACGTATATCCGCGCCTATAAGAAAACGGTCCCTGTATGCACCAAGTGCGGTACCATCGGTCATCGACCACCTCAGTGCCCTCACGCCGCTCCAACCCAGTGTGCCAAATGTGGAACCCCCGCACCTGCAGGTCTAGATGCCCACGACTGCCACCCCAAGTGCCTCCTCTGCCATGGCGCCCATGAGACTGGGACCAGTGGCTGCACGGCAAAATACCGAAAATATCGGAAACGCAAGCAGCCCTCAACATCTCCTCGAGGGACCACCTCATGTTCGTCACAGCCAGACAGCAGCACAAACCTGCATCATTCGGCTCCACCACTCCACGCCGACTCTCAAGCATTCCCACCGCTCGAAGCACCAGCGGCGGTACCTCAGGTGAGCAGTTGGGCAGGGAAAGCTGCTTCTAAGCCTCTCTCACCCCCTTCTGTCGATCCTCCTTCTCCCGAACTTGCGGCCCTTCGCCAGCAAGTTGCGGCACTTCAAAAGCAAAATTCTCTTTTAACTAAACAACTCGAACTCTTAAATAAGCGACTTCAACCCCAACAACAGTGTACTGCAAAGCCATCCGGTATTGCCTCCTCTGTCCAGGCGGTTACGCCAGCTATGTCCAAGCTTAGTCCTCGCGCTAAGTCCACTCCCATTAAACCGCCGGTTCAAGCAGCCATGTGTACTCCAGCACTCGGAACCGGTGCTACATCTACTCCAGAAGCTCTTGAGGCTCCTGGGGCACCTCAGGTTCTCTTGCCCGCTAACCAAACTCTCCCTAGCGAAGAGCACACCCCGCGCGTAGAGGAACGCCTCACGCGCGTCGAAGCTTCGATTAATCACCTCCTCACCAGCTTCTCGGTCCAACGCATAGTAGTAGAGGTTACCCAGGCTATTCAAGCCTGGGCAATCACCCAGTTTCAACCCAAGGCATCGCGTTCCCGCTCCTGCTCGGTGAGCAGTGAGGGTACAGCTCCACGGCGTCGTCGTAAGGTGGCTACCACCACCCCGCCGTCGGACAATCCGGCCTCCGTGCCCCTCCCTGCTTCTGAGGATTCCGAGCGGGACATGGAGGACCAAATATAAAACCTAGGAAAGTCACGATGGCTACCAATCGTACGTCCCGTTCAAACATTGCGTCTAAATTCGAGATCATACAGTGGAACCCTGGAGGCTTCGGGAACAGGCGAAAGCGTTCACATCTTTCCCTTTTCCTCAGCTCACTTGGCTCTCAGCCGGCCGTCTTGGCGCTCCAAGAATCTGGCCCTGCTCCATCCCTTTCTGGATACTGCTCCTATGTAGGCGGCACCACCACATGCGTCCTCGTGCATAAAGCTTACACGGCGATACAGATCGACCTCGATCTGGATCTTCCTTACGACTACTGCATGATATCAGTGTTGTCTCAGCGGAGGGGCCAACCATCAATACATATCTTAAACGTGTACTGTCCCCCCTCGCCTTGCGAGGGCTTCGTTTGCGCATCTCTTCCATCGGGCACTGCGTATAGCGGCCCGACAACCACTGGTGATTGTCGGGGACTTTAATGCCCCCAGCCCTCACTGGGGTTACCACTACGAGAAGGCCCGGGGCAGAGAGCTCAAGGAGCTCATTTCCTCGCTGAGCCTGACGCTTCTTACCGATACGGCACAACCCACACGTTCCGGCAACTCGGTCACGCGAGACACATGCCCCGACCTCTCCCTCACCCGTCACATCCGCGATGCTACATGGGAAAATTTAGGCGAAAACCTAGGCAGCGATCACTTTTTACTCCGCATTTCGTTCACACCGCGGCAGAAAATGCGCCAACACTGGGGCCAAGCCCGTCTCACCGATTGGACTCAGTTCAGAATGCAACCATTCCCCGCCGGCCTCTCCTCGACCGAATATGCAGCGTGGGCATCATACGCTCTTCATATGAAACAAGCGAACACTCGCACCCTTGCAACCTCTAATTTGACTCCTGCAATCGATCCACACCTCCTACATCTTTGGCACGCTCGCCGCGGGCTCATAAGGCGCTGGAAACGCAACAAACTTAATCGGAAACTTCGCGCTCGCATTGAGGCGCTCACTGCAAAGGCGGCCGCATACTCCGCACAACTTTCCGATGCTAACTGGGCAGACACCTGTTCGAAGGCTGCAAACCAGATGAGCTCTAAGAGTGCGTGGCGACTCTTTAGAAGCCTTCTCGATCCCTCCACCACCAGGGGAGAAACGCAACGCCAGCTCCACCGTGTTCTGCATGCATTTCAGGGCACTACGGATGAACTCGCGCGAGAACTTTGTGACCGCTACATCTGCCGCACAATTGATCCCGCAGGCCCAGCATATACGTATTCCGGCGCCCCTAACACCGACCTCGACGCCCCATACACGCTTTCTGATTTACGATTTGCACTCACGAAAATGCGACGGGGCACGGCCCCTGGACGCGACGGAATCACAGTATCGCTCCTGGCAAATCTTCCCGACCAAGCACACCTCTCGCTACTCCAGCTTATAAATTCGATATGGGACGGTTCTCCGCTTCCAACGGAATGGACCACATCGGTCGTGACATTCATTCCCAAATCGGCAAAGTCCGTTAGTATTGAGGCACTGAGACCCATCTCACTTACGTCTTGCGCAGGCAAACTCATGGAAACCATGGTTCGCGAACGCCTTTCAGCCTACTTGGAGGCCAGGAGCACCTTTGCCGACACGATGTTTGGCTTTCGCCCGCATCTGTCGGCGCAGGACGTCCTGCTCCAGCTTCAACACGATATCATAGAGCCGACTACTATGCGCCATAACGATAAAGCCGTGCTCGCTCTCGATCTCCGCGGGGCGTTCGACAACGTCAAACACAGCACTATACTCACTAACCTGTCTACCACAAACTGCGGGCAGAAGACTTTCAACTACATTCGCGCCTTTCTATCACATCGCACCGCCTTCATTCGCCTTAATTCTACCGAACACGGCCCGTACTTATTAGGCACGCGGGGTACACCTCAAGGGGCAGTTCTGTCTCCTCTGCTTTTTAACCTGGCGATGATGAACCTCCCCTCTCTTCTAAGCGAGGTCGAGGGAATACAACACGCACTATATGCGGACGATATCACAATCTGGACCAACACCGGCTCCTTAGCGCAAATCGAAGAACGCCTGCAAAAGGCTGCCCTTCTGGTGGACACCTACGCAGGTTCATGCGGCCTGGAGTGCTCTCCAGCTAAATCGGCTCTTCTTTCAGTCTCTCCGCTACCGCCGCCTCAAATTTTTCTTCCGTCCGGGCCCATCCCGTCAGTGCAAAATATTCGGGTTCTTGGCCTTCACCTCACATTGTCCTTGGATCCAAAGGGCACAATAGCAGGCCTCAGACGCACCAGCGAACAGGTGAGCCGCATGATACGGCGAGTTTCTACCAAGCGCGGCGGCCTCCGCGGGTCTCAGTCCCTCCGATTGGCCCACGCGTTTGTGACCAGTCGCGTCCTCTACGCCTTGCCTTACCTTCACCTGCGTCGTCGACACGAGCACCAGCTGGACGTCCTTCTTCGTTCAGTATACAAACGCGCTCTGGACCTACCTATTGCAACTTCCAACAGCCGATTCACGGCTCTGGGGGTACACAACACCTTTGCAGAGATGCGCGAAGCTCATCGCGTTAACCAAATCAATCGACTGTCGCAGACGCCTTCAGGGCGCCGTCTTCTACACAGACTTGGCCTTAACCCGATATCTGACCAAGACCCTCTGCAGCCGGTACCAGAGCTCTGGCGTCAAAAGCTATGGGTGGAACCTCTACCCCGTAATATGAACCCTGACCTCCATCCTGGCCGTAGACTAGCACGCGCCGCGGCCCTTCATACGCGACACTCCGATCGTCCTGGTGTTTTCTACGTGGACGTCTCGGGTCCCTCCCCCTCGGGTCACTTCACGGCTGCCGTGATTACAGAGGGCAAACACGTAGATGGCCTCTCCTTTCGAGCAGACACAGTAACGCACGCTGAAGAGGTTGCCATAGCTTTGGCCGCCTCTAACCCTGCCTCACGCACCATCCTGACGGACTCGCGCTCGGCCTGTTCTCAGTACCTTCAGGGTTCCATTGCTCCGCTGGCGGCTAGCCTACTACAGGCAGCCTCTTGGCGCTTTAACCCTCATCCCATTCGTATAGTGTGGACCCCAGGCCACTCGGGCCTGCCCGGCAACGAGGCGGCAAATGCCGCTGCCCGCGCTTCTCATGTCCGGGCCGTTGCCCCTCCATGTCCCGAGACGGAATCTGGCAATACCAACCTGACGCGCTTTCGCGAAATTTTGGCTTATTACCGGGCTTCGCGCCGCCTCTACCCGAACCCCGCACGCGGTTTGGAGAAAGCGGACGAACGACTGCTACGCCGCCTGCAGACGAACACCTTTATAAGTCCGGCGGTCGCCAGGCACTTTTTGCCGGAAATCAATGGCACCTGCTCGACCTGTCATGTGCTCGCCGACACATATCACGTCGTAGCATCGTGCCCAGTTAATCCCGTCCCTTTCTCATCCCCTTTTCCTATCCCAACTAGAGAGGCTTGGGAGGAGCACCTGCTCGGCTGCTCTACCTTGGCTGCACAACGCTCCTTGGTGGAGCGCGCACGGGCAGATTCCAGCTCCACTGGCGTCCCGGAATAGGGTCTTGCCACTCTAGCACGCCGATGGGCCACGTCGGCACTCTCTAGTAAACTTTTTCTGAAATAAATGTTTTTTACCACCACCAAGAAGGTAAGGTTCATGCGACCTTAAACAGTTACGTGTATCCATTTTTGAGGTGTCACCAAAGTAACTTTCTCCGTGCAGACGGTGCAGGCAGAAATAAACGCGCTGCAACAAACGCCGTCCGTGTCAGCCGAAAACTACAACCCCGAACGTAAGTTACCGCATAGCTAAATATTTATGAATGAGTGTTCTTATTATTTTGCCTTACTTTTGCAGCTGCAGAACCAGCAACACCCGAAAATATGCAGGCCAGCGGCTATGCGTTGGCGGGCGAACGTAAGTGACCCAACGTATGAACGCTGCTCTGGCATTTTAAGTAAGACAAACGAGGCTATTACGTGAGTACATTGCATTGCAGCATAAGATAGATTAGATAGATTTGTAGGGTTTAACGTCCCAAAACCACCATATAATTATGAGAGACGCCGTGGTGGAGGGCTCCGGAAATTTTGACCACCTGGGGATTTTAACGTGCACCCAAATCTGAGCACACAGGCGTACAACATTTCCGCCTCCATCGGAAATGCAGCCGCCGCAGCCGGGATTCGAACCCGCGCCCTGCAGGTCAGCAGCCGAGTACCTTAGCCACTAGACCACCGGCTGCAGCATAATACTAGGCTCACATAATGATGCGATTTGCAAAATTTCATGAGCGTGGGTCAGAAAAATTTGTGGAGCTCACTCAGCCTCGCTTATAAAAAAAAAAACAGGCAAATTCCACGTACCTTGGAAATTGATGTTATAAAAATCATGCGCATGGAAGGTGACTGTGTTGCAATTTTTTTGTTCATTGAGCGAAACGTCATGAAGTGGCGCTAAATATATGTACAAGTGTAGACACGGGCATACGTAACGATGCCTACGGCAACATAGATAGCAAAACCAGAAGTGGTAAGCTGATATGAAGCGCTGGTGCTCGTGAAGTTATAAGGTAAGCCGGACTCACTCAGTCTCATGAAAACTTCAAGAAACTGTCTAATCGGACGTTCCTCAAACTAATCTACTGCTTCCTCACTGGATTCTTCTTTTTTTTTTTCTGGCAGAGCTGCGCTGCTTCAAAAGTTATTTATTTAAACCTACCTGATCCGGTAATTAACAAGCACACAAAAGCAGTTCAACATATTCCATGCAAAAGTTGTCAACCTGTGTTTGGATGCGTCAACATGCCCCATAGCTTTTGTTTTTTCGCACATTCACAGGGTCATTGCAATGTTATGCATACTTTTAAATTAATTGTTCACATTTGTTCGGCGTTTACAGGTGAAAATGTGCCTCCTGAAGAACTGGAAAATTATGGCACAGTCGGGTTTGCATTCGAAAGACCTGATGAACGTAAGTTATCCCGAAAAATTGAAACGTTTTAAACGCATGATTTTATCTCATTTTAATAAATGGGTGCCGATCAACTTCTGAGTACCTGCAGCAAAAAAAGACTTAGCAAAGGAATTTATCTATTTTTATTCGAAATTGTGCTTAATCGTAATGAAAATTTTCAATGACAGCTTGCTATCGTGAACTTTAATTTCCATTATTAGCTAGCCTATAGAGAACATGCAGATATTGAGTTCCCAGCCCACGCATTGTTTTCGAAACATTCCACGTGTACACGCGAGGTTATCGTGTGATCGCGACCACCTGAATCATCGGCGCCGTGGTCTGGTGCATGTGCGGTAGCAATAAAAGCAAACGCAGCCCACGGCTTCACTGACCAGGCGACCACTGTGCAGTCGAGGGGGGCTACACGGATAGAAAAGGCTCGCTTTAATGCACGTATTGTGTTATTCAGCAGTAGTTTCTTACAGAAAACACCTTGAGACCTTACACGCATTCATGTCTAAGTTGCCCACCCTAATACCGTATCTCTCTTTTCTCTCTCTCTCTTTTCAGTGTTTCCTGAAGACGAGCACGAAGAACCTGCAGATTCTCCCGCTAATGATGGCTTTACACAGTTCACGAGTGAACGTAAGTCACCCTACAAATGGCGCGTGTATGTATGTGTCTGTTGCGTTCATATTAATAATAATAATAATAATTATAATATCATTTATTTATTTCTCATCAATACAATGGAACTTGGTAGAAGGTGTGAGAGTAAAAGCAAAGAACGCTGTATACGTCTCACACATTTTACATTGGGAAGCAGCAGGAAACATCGCTATATTGCATCTGTGTTCACAAGAGAGCAACACAAAATAGAAATAAACTCAAAAAGGTAAGTCCCGTATTCAGAAACGCTCCTTGACTTGACCTTTGCGCCGCCTACGCGCAGCGCGTTTGAAACGCGCTTGTGCTGCATTGAAGGGGGTGGCAAGTAAAGGGATCGGTTCGGGTGTAAGTATGCGGACTTCAAATATTTTCGCTCTTCACTTAAAATTGGGCCGCCGCGGCCGGGATTATATCCCGCGACCTGCGGGTCAACAGTTAACACCATAACCACTAGATTGCGTGCATGTGTGGATGCGATATATCCAGGGGAGGGTTGGGGGGGGGGGTGAGAGTATAATAAGTCTGATACCAAAAGCTGAGCATGGGGCCTGAACACCACGACTCAGCCCATACATTAAAAAATTACCAAGGAACATTTATACTGAGCGTGATCACAAATACAAAGTGAATAACTCTTATCTATATATCTGTTCCCACTCGCTCCATGTTGTTCATTGTTACTGTGTTAAATAGGTTGGACGATCGAAGGATCACGTGACAGTCGCAAACGCCTCCGTTTTTCTACGCAGGCCTTGGTGCAAGAGTGCGTCGTCTGGCCGAGAAGATTGCTGAAGACGCGGGCAAGGTTTCCACGAATTCCGAAAACCTCGCTCTTCGAGTATCAGCGCATCGCGACGATCTCTTGCGACGCAACGAGCAGCAAAAGCAAAAGATCGATACCCTCAAAAGCATGGCTCTTGGTAATTTGAAGAAGTACTCGAAAGATGGCGAGTAGCTGAGTCGACACTGACTGCAGACAGAGAAGTATGTGTACATGTGTAGCAGAGATAACATATTTGAAGTACTCGCTCCGGGCTAAATTGCATCGATGACAAATGTGCTCACTATTTCGCGTATTAGTTATATTTATTTATTTATTTAGAAATACTGTCAACCCTCTATTGAGGGTCATTACAGAAAAGGTACGACACACTGTACAAACAAATTGGCGATATAACTATACATCTCCCAATGATAAACCAGGTATGCATACATACAAATCCGTGAAAGCTCTGCATTCCTAAGAAATAAACGAAAAACACAAACCCTTATTCGCAATGCAACTAATAACAATCGCAATAATATTTACAATAAGTCACATAAATGTAAATCAAGTAAATGCACAAATTCATTAACATCACCCGCATTGACTATGTTACTCGGTAACCCATTACAATCTTCGATGACATCGGGCAAGAAAGTATGACGGTACGCCTTCGTTCGTGCAAAATAAGGTTGCACTACTCGTGTATGGTTTGCCCTCTCGCTTCGTTTCCGAGGTTGTTCTATGTAGTCATTTCTGTTAACTTGAAACTCTTGCCTTCTAATGATTGAAAAAGAAACTTCAATCTATTTTTGCGTCTGCGCTTGTGGAACGTCTCCAGATCACATAGTTGTAGCATTTCTGTGACTGAGTTGCTCTGCTTATATCTCGAGCATATAAAGCGAGCTGCAAGCCGTTGTATGCGTTCAAGTTTATTTACAAGCACTTTTTGGTGGGGACTCCAGAAAATACTGGCATATTCCAGTATAGGCCTTATGAAAGTTTTAAAAGCAAGAAGTTTTACGTCCATAATAGCACCCTGCAGTTTTTTTCTTAATATGTACAATTTTACTTCCAATATACTTTCTTACAATATACAGCTTTTTTTGTCACAACACCAATTTCTAGCAAGTTAGCACGCTAGCTTTGTATTTCTGTTGTTATTTGTATATGTATTTATTTTGTTTGTATTTATGTTGTTATGTACGTGTTTTATTTATGTTTAATTATTTGTTATTAATAAAGAGGTCATATTTTGGTGTTCCACGTCAACAAACATAATCCAGTGTGGTATGTATGTACATATGAATTTAATAAACATCTTAAGCAACTGTTTCTAAGGTACGTATGCATTGTGAAATGTTTTATGTAGTTTTAGCGAATTTGGCGTTATGGACTGGTTTAACACCAGAAATATATGTAGCGCAAATAATAATACGTAAACGAGAAACACGATAGACGAGCGCTTCTACCATTGGCGTAGCCAGGCGGGGGAGGAAGTGGGTGTTAATTGACAATTGTGGTGCGCAGGAGAATAACATCATCTAAATCGCCCGCGATGTTTCCCAAATTATCTCTCCTTTATCAGTCGTACGTCAGAATAGGCGCTGGTCTGACGCATCGGCACACCGTTGCATGTTTTTGTCAGTGCGGTCCTTTCTCAATCCGAAGGCTCGCTGGCTTAGCTGGATAAGAGAGGGGGTGGGGAGTACAACCTTTTTACGCATACATACGCATTCACGAACATAGAATATACATTTAACATATGCGCCCCCCCCCCCCCCCCTGAAAATAAGCTCTAAAGTTACGCCCCTCCTGCTCATCTGTGGTAGACATCATCTAAACATTGCCTAACGCAAGGCTGCAGCAACACGAATTGTCTGCGGTGCGTGCATGGGCAGTTCTCTTATGGTAAGTCACTGGTATCCCAATCGAACATGGTTAGCCGAAACAGGTGCGCCTATCACCCACACAGCATACGCGCGGGTATGAATATTTCAGCGGATCCAGTGGGCTGTTTGCGACGCACGTGAGAATAATATGTGCATGCGCAAGTGTGATCCGTTGTTTCGTTTGTATGGATTTCCAGAACAAATATATTCGTGCACATGCAAATGAACTTTTGTTCAATAAAGTCAGCGTTACGGTTGCTTAATAAATTGTACCTTTCTTCGGTCACGTTGTTGTCCGCAGCGGTGATGTAGCTCTTACCCTAAACTTGCGGGCTCGAGCCTGGTCGGGGTGGTCGCGTTGCAAGGAGGGCGATACGCTAGTGGCCACCATAGTGTACCTAACAAACATATTGTGGTTTTGGGACGTTGAACCCCAGCTATTATTTATTGTTCATCGCCCGATTTGTTGTTATCCGTGATGTCCACTTCACTCAGTACTATATTGTAACAACAAATCCAAGTGGAAACACCGCTCATAACTACAAAGAACACAAACCACACTAACGAAAGAAAATTCACGACGATAGCGGATTGGATGGGTTTGTGCCGTGGAGGAATGGTTAGTCCGGTGTTCTCTTGTTTCCAGTGTAACTTCGGTTCAACGAACTGAAAAACAAGTCGTCTGCTTGCCTCCTCTTCATTTGATTGGTTCATCCAAATTTAGTTTGAGCAAAAAGTCGTTTTGAGCCCCAAAGTACCATGGATGAGCTTTATTAACATGACAACAAAAAGCGCTGCCAAGCGTTGCTGCCCACCTCCCGCCCTAAACAACATATTTCACCGTTTCAAATGAGGCGCGCACGCAAGAAATGCACATGTCGCGCTACTAGCGCCACCTCATAGCAGTTCTGCGTACCTACTGATTTCTTGGTATGGCTCCTGTGATTGCCCCGCACTGAAAAACTTGGAGGCAATGTGCTCAGCGCTGCCGGCATCGCAGACCGCGAAAATATAACTTTTATAAAAAGAGATTTGTTTGGGCTACAATAAAGGGGAAAGAAACAATCGATCAATAAACCTGTTTCTGACAGAAGTAAGCTGCCGTCTGCTTGCAAAAGGTATAAGCTGTTTCCAGAAGCCGTGCTGACTCTGGGATATCTTCAAGTTATCAGAATCTTGTTGCACCAAATGGAATTTTCTGGCGAACGCACTGACGGGCAAAACAGCACGGTAATGTGACCTTATTTATTTACAATAACGCAGTTGTATGTGGTTACTCATGATGGTTGTTAACTGTCCCATGCAGACCCTGCTGCTTCAAATGGAGCAAACGCCGACGGCATCACCTGAAGACTACGGGAGTGAAGGTTTCTTTACGCGTACGTCACCGCGTGTTAATACGGCGTACGTCGCATGCGAATACATTTAATATATACTGCCGCCGAACACACGTTTTGACGTTTACAGGCGAAGATGCGCGCCCGGGAGAAGCTGGAAGCTCCGGCGCTTGTGAATTGTTGTTGGAGAGACCGGATGAAGGTATGCCATACAACAATATATGAATGACACTGCTACTTCTGAGAGTACAATAGAGTGTAACATTACATGCTGCTAACACACTCATCCGTAATAATATATGTTGCGTGTTAAGAAAGCAGCAGGCAAATATTTATATAATATGTATTTTAAATGTAGGCATAATTCATTATCGTGGTTAAACAAAGACGTGTTCATTCATTTGTTTATTCATTTAATAAAGGTACACTATAAACCCGCAAATGCTTTCCGTTGACACACGTCCGGCGAATAACCCTTTCCCATAATTTGCCAATCTCATAAGGGTCTACGTTAAACATCGGCATGTCGTTTCAACCCCGTTTATGGAGTGTGGCAGCTTGGGCTAGTTGGTATGACATGACGATATTTATAGCGTGAAAACAGAACAACGACGCAGAGACAAGAAGTTCTTCGTGTCCTTCTTATCGTCCGTTTATGGAGTAAATATACCGGTGATCTGCGGTTTAGATCACTTGCAAGTTTAGATACCCATTGCAAGTTTAGATTACCTACACAATGAAATTTTTAAGGTGCTGTTTCGGGATTATTACGGAGACACTTCTTGTTTCCATCGGTTACTTATTAGGCATATTAGCTGGACATTTCACAGTGTTAACGTACCTAGGCTGACTTTCTCTTAGCTACTCTCGAGGGGCAGGTGGATTGCACGTCGTCCTCTGTTCCTAATTTCGTTTTACAACTCGCAATCCTGATAAGGCGCCCCTGGAAATTGCACGTTATGGGGCATGGAGCTCGCTAACGATTTCCATATCAACAAAACAATTGTTTCAGTGAGCTCGAATGATTCTCCGATTCACCATTAACTGGTAATTTTGCATCCATGGAGTCACAACTTGTACGTAAGGTGAACTTGCAATACTTGTAATATACGTATACCTGTAATGCGTTGCTGTATTCTTTGTAGGCGTTTGCACGAGACGGGAAGGGGGCAAAGCCTGCCCCATACATGTTAACCTAGTGGGGAGGGGGCAGGGGGGGGGGAGGCGATGATCAACTGCTTCTTGCGCTCCCAGTCAGGCAGCCAGGGTTGGCACTCCAGGCCTCGGCCCGCAACCCAAATTCTTTTTCCCCACGCATACATAGCGCAAAATGACCATTTGCCATTGGCGTGCTTGGCAGTGTGGCGTACCAACTCTTTCGCTAGTGAAAGGGCAAACTTACATCCACCTCGCCCATCAGCGGGCATATATAAATATATATAAGAGCCTACAAGAAAAATTACCACAGCGGAAATGTTGGCAAAATTTCTCTATGTTGTAACATAGTCTCGTAACAATTCCATTCTCCCGTAAGACGATAATTGAGCGATTACTGTTGTGATGGAAAACTACGCCCTACTTTTGGTTTTCCCAGTGTGACCACTGTCAAAAGGGAGGGGGGACTCAGCCCCCAAATTTTCTCAATGGGGGGGGGGGGGGGGGGGGCTCGCGTTAATCTTGTCTCCCGGCTGATATAAGTGCTCGGCCCCCCACTTTAGACCAAAAAATAGCCTTCCCCCCAAAAAATAAAGAAAAAGATTGTGGATACAATCCTGCTTCTCCCCTATTAAGTGGAACCTAACGCATGCCTATGTGTATCTTATGTAACTTAAGTTTGATGGAATCTTATTTTGTGTGCACGTCTCGCACAGGTGATGCAGATAATGACGATCCCGAAGAGGAAGCTGACGGTTACCGTGGGGATGCATCACTCGAGATGGCAATCGAACGTAAGCGGCACACA